CGGGTGGGCGGAGAGCGCGGAGGGGCGAGGCCCGGCTGCAGGGGCCGCTCGGCCCGGGGGGAGCCCGCGTCCCCGCTCAGCCTTGCAGCCCCGCGCCCTGAGCATCTCCCCGGAGGAACGGAGACAAAGGAGGATTCATGTCCAAAGGTAGGGCGGGCGGCCGGCCTCCCCCGCGGTCCCCGGGACGAGGCTGCGTCCTGGGCAAGCGCTGGCGGAGGTGCTACCAGGGGGAGGGTTGATGCGCCGAGGAGGCCACGCGCGGTGACATATGCACGGACACACGCACACATGGTGGCACGTACCTCGAGAGATACAGTCTCGGAGAAAGGCACACACAAGGAGATAGCGAGACCCACGGACACCCAATGAGGGACCCAGATGCGCACAGAAAACCCCACGCTGGAGCACACCAAGGTACGCACACACATACACACCACGCACAGGTACCAGGGCCACCTACAGCCAGATAAGAGACCTGTGCGCTGACACATAAATCCCCTTCCCCCACATACAGCTGAGACAGGCACCAGCTGGTGGTATCCAAGGGAATTCCTTGGCCTCCAGAGGACTGGGATGGTGGAAGGGGGTGTCCCAGGGCCCTTTGCTCCTGCGAGTGGGGAAGGACTAAGATATCTTTTGTGATTCCTTTTCTGAGAGCCCAGGATTGGAGCCGTGGTGGACTGGAATTGCCTCTGCGGGTGGGGGTGGGGTCTTGAAGGCTGCTGGGGTCGGGAGAAGATCCCCAGCTCAGGAGGGAAGGAAGAGGGGGGCCTGCACTAAGCCAGGGAGGCAGGTGCTATTCTGGAAAGGTCCCCTCCCCCTACTCCCACCTTCCAGCAGAGGGGTGGGGTCCCTGGGCCAGACAAAGACAAAGCCATTCATTTGCCTGTAAAAGAAAGTACCAGGGTCCTTGCTTGGCATGGGGATGGAGGCATTGTTTCTGTGGGGACTTGGGCAGAGCTGAGTCAGGTGGACAGTGCTTCTCCCTGGAGCACTGATGGGGCAGGTGGTTCCTGGCAGGGCGTGCAGCAGACAGGTCCCCTCCTGTCCAGGGGCCCTGGGAGAGCTGGAGCTTTGGAGGGACCCCAAGGACTATCTAGCTAGGATGTCATACTCAAGCTGCATCCTGCTGCAACCCCATCCTGAGCTCTTCCTCAACCTTGGCGCCCCCTACCTCCCAATCCTTGTTGCAGGGGGGCGAAGAGGTCTCTCTTAACGGGTCTACCACACTTGACTGTGGCCTACACATCAGCCTTTTTTGCTGGCCCGGGTCAGCTGCTCTGCACAGGGAGCAGTACCTGAGGGAGCAGAAAAGTGATGGTTCTGAAGTGACACCTGCCTCACCATGGGGTTTTCATTCATTCACCATCCATTCATTCATTGCTGAGCGATTGTGGTATGCTGTGTACATTGGGACACAGATCAATAATACATGACCACTGCCCTAAAGAAGGGTGGGAAGTAGCATATATTTAGTGCCAGGTCATTTACCTCCATGATTTTGTATAACCTTCACAGCAACCCAGCAAGGCAGGTACTATCCCCACTTTTCTAAGGAGAAAACTAGGTCATTTACCTCCATGATTTTGTATAACCTTCACAGCAACCCAGCAAGGCAGGTACTATCTCCACTTTTCTAAGGAGAAAACCGAGGCTCACAGAGATCACCCAGCCAGGATTCAAGCCTGGGTCAGCTGCCCATTTGAGGTTGGCACAGTGGGACCAGGGTAGATCATGGAGGTATAGAATCCACCTGCAGAACCACATTTGTTCTGTGCCCTGGAGGTCTTTGTGTACTAGTTAGGCACCCTCAAAAGACAGTGGACCCTTGGGGGTAATGACCTTGTCTGAGGGACAAAAGTGTCCTTGGCATTTAGTCTAGGGCTTGGCTGGAGTAGGCTCCCATTTGTCAGTATATAAAATGGCCTGGATGGGATGGAATGGATGAATGTGATAAGTACCGGTGTACCCACAGGGGACAGAGGCAGGACAGAAAAGGGGCATCCATGTCAGATGGGAAAGCAGAAGCTTTTCTGAGGGGTAGCACTTAAACTGAATGCTTAAGGAAAAGGAGGAATTAGCCAGGGGCTGGAGGGGCATAAGGTCTTCCAGCAAAGCTTGTGGTACAGTGACCAGAAGCATGTTTGCAGTCTTTGTGGCTGATGGGTGGCTGTTAGCATGTGATTGGCATGTAATTGGCATATGGTGGGGGGGGGGACTGACTTGCCAGCAGGTGCGCTGTACAGTGCACACAGTGAGTACTCATATATGCCTGCTTGAAGAGTGAAAGTGAGATCTGTCCATGCCCTGGACCTGTAGCAGGCCTGATTTGGCCCCTAGAAATTCTTGGGAATACAGTAGGCCCTCTTTTTCAATCAGTCTGAGTTTTGGGGGGGCCCTTTTAGGATGCTGCATTTGACAGGCCATGGCTGAGCAGGCAGGCCATGATGAGGACACACATTTATGGGGGGGGGTTGTAAGTATTCATATAAATACAAGATTCACTTCCGGGCCTGTAAACTGGGGATGTGACCTCCCCCACTCGTCAGGTGGAGCTATCTCACAGCACAGGTTGTGGAGACCAAATGGACTCAGCTGTAGCGGCATGATGGTGATGAAAAGGGCCAGCCTGTGTAGCAGCTGCCTTGGCCCCCAGTGCAGGTGTGCTGAGTGGGGCAGTGAGCCATGTGCGAGAGTGGAGGAGTGGAGGGCAGGGCCTGGCTGCTGAGAGTCAGCTGTTGCAGGGCTGAGCCAATCTTGCTGCCGCCTGGAGCTGTCTGGCTGGCAACAGCTTCCTAGGAAGCAAGAGGGAGCCACGCCAGGCCCTGGGAGGTCCCGAGGCTTTGTCAGATTTGGCTGTGCCTGGGAGTTATGGGAAAGAAATCTCCCATTGAGAGGAGGGTTTTGCCAGTACTGGTGGAAGGACCAGGTGGTAGTACAAGAGCAAACTCCTGGCTGGATGTGGGGTGGGGGAGGCTGGCACTCCTGTCCCCTCTCCCTCCTGCCCATCTGCTGCTCCATCAGTTCTCCCTGTAAGGCTGATCCTCTGCAGGGCAGTAAGCATGAACCGTAGGAGTCTAGAATGGCAGAGCTGGAAAGCATCCTCGTGGAGCCCATAACCATGCCTGTGTAATTAGCACCTGAGGGCATCTCCCTTTAACAAGGGCTTTCACATGCACTGAGGCAGGGGAAAGAGGGTCTGGGACTGTGAGGTGCTATGCTAGGTGCTTCTAAGCATCGTATCTCATGTAAGGCTCACCCCAGCCTCAATTGTGACCCGCCACTTCACAAAAGAGGAAGCAGGCTCCGGGGGGGGGGGCGGGGGGGCCTGCCCAAATCCACAAGCCTGATAAGTAGCAGAGCCAGGCTCATTCTACTCCGCAAACACTCATTTTATGGATGGAGAAATGGAGGTGCTCTATCCTGGAACCTACCCTGTGTACAGTGGCCTGATGAAGAAAGCCACAGACTTCTCCCAGTGTGCACAGGGATGTTTGCCTTTCCCCACTAGGAAAGGGCTTTTTCCTCATCCTCCCCTTTCTTCTGCCACCCACCATTGCAAGAGAACATTGTGTCATCTTAGGCAAATGACTGTCCTCATATGGGTCTCATCCCCTCCCTGCTAGTCCCACAGATTCAAAACTATTGCTAGGAGGTTGTCTGGGGCTTCTCTGGGTACAGATGCCCCTACTTTGTAGTGGTGCTCATGGAAGAGAGGGGACACTGAGGCTGGGAGACGGGGGAGATGCTCACTCTGCAGAGAGGGTTAGCCCTGTTTGCTTCTAAAAGACGAAGGAACTGAGGTCAGTGATAGTCAACAGGTGTTAGGCAAAGATCCTAAAGGGTCATTGCCCTTTATTTGGGGAGGCAGGACTTAGGTCTGAATAACTGCAGACATTTTTTAGACTAGTGGTTCTCAGCTAGGGGACATTTGGTACTGTCGAGAGACAGTTTTGGTTGTCACAACTTGAGGGCTACTACTGGCATCGAGTAGAGGCCAGGGATGCTGTTAAACATTCTACAATGCACATAACAGCAACCCCCATAATAAAGAATTGTCCAAATGTCAATAGTGCCACGGTGGAGAAACCTGGGTTAGACACACAGATGTGGTGCTTTGGAACAGTGATGTGCATTTGAAAGTGCCCAGCAAGTGGAGAACCTGGTACTGGTGCAGATTTTGGGTCTGACCTGCTCTGTGTTCTTAGGCAAGTCCTTTCCTCTCTAGGCCTCAGTCTCTTTGTCTATAAAATGAAAGACCCAAACTGGATGATGACATTAAGGTCCCTTCCAGTCTCAACTCTGTAGAATTCTCTTATCAAGAGAAAAATACTGTGGCTTCTATGTGACCTCTGTTCTCCTCCCGCCCACCCCTCTCACCCTGGCTTTGTAGGACTCCCAGAGACCAGGACGGACGCAGCCATGTCAGAGCTGGTGCCTGAACCCAGGCCTAAGCCAGCAGTGCCCATGAAGCCTGTCAGCATCAACTCTAACCTGCTGGGCTACATCGGCATCGACACCATCATTGAGCAGATGCGTAAGAAGACCATGAAGACCGGGTTTGACTTCAACATCATGGTCGTTGGTATGGAAGACTGTGGGGTCACTGGAGGGGCTGGTGATAGGCAGCACTGAGGATCCCATTTCTTGTCATGGCTTCTCTAGGATGAGCTCTCTCTCTCTAGGAAGGAGGATTTCACCATGCTGATCACAAAAGCCTGACCCCTTCTCACCTCAAGGCTAGCTGATCCAGGGGTGGCAGCTTTGGGTGTGTGTAGGCAGCCTGGTCTAATCACCAGCTGGGTGTATGCAGGCAGCCTCTTCATCACTCTGAGCCTGCTTTCAGGTTTGTGACATGGGAGAATCATCAGTGTCCTTCCCTACCTCCAAGAGCTGGTTAGATGATGGGGTGAAGGGTGGTCTTATTTCTGATCTTTTACAGTGCTTTGAAGTTTAGAGAGAATTTCCAGGATTTGGTCACTGAATAGCATCATTGGGTCACAGAATGAAAGAGCAGGAAAGGACCTTTGTCCAGTCTTAGATGTTCACTCAGTGCTGAAACAGGGATCTGGGCATCATCCTTTCCTCCTCTTTATCCCCCAATCTAATCAATCATCAAGTCCTGTCCATTTTACCATGTAAATATCTCTTAAGTCTGCCCACTTTCTTATTTATTTATTTATATTTTTAAATTTTATTTTATTTTGTCAATATACAATGTGGTTGATTATTGTGGCCCATTACCGAAACCTCCCTCCCTCTTCCCTCTCCTTCCTCCCTCCCAACAACCTCCTTTCTGTTCGCTTGTCGTATCAACTTCAAGGAATTGTAATTGTTGTGTCTTCTTCCCCCCCCCCCAAGTTTTTTTGTGTATTTATTTATTTATTTTTAGCTCCCACAAATAAATGAGAACATGTGATATTTCTCTTTCTGTTCCTGACTTATTTCACTTAATATA